GTTATAGCTCATAAAAAGAGCACAACAACCAGAAACCAGCCATAGAATAAGTCATGATGGTGGTGTGGTCTTTTCTCTAGTCTCCTCTGGTCCCTGGTGGAGGTCCACTCTCTCACCCCTCCTTATGTCTACTTCATTGACCAGACTCTGGCCAACCACTCCTATGTGGAATTTAGCCAAATAGGGATAACTGAAATTGAGAGTGTTCAGTGTCACACTGACCTGAAAACATGCTGCAGCGGTGTGCAAGGTATCCATCGCGGTGACTGGTACTTCCCTAATGGAAGCCGACTCCCATTTGGCGGTGGCCCCTATGATATGTACCAGCATCGCAACCATCAGAGAGTTGACCTACGTCGTAAAAGTTCCCCCTCACTATCTGGGATGTATCGTTGCGACATTGCTAGGTTGAGGTCCATGATAACACAACCACTCAATTGACTCGAAGCAGGGTGTATGTTGGATTGTATGCAAATGGAGGTTTGTATTAAGCTATATATACATGATGCAGAAGTGCATAATTTGTTCTTACAGGAGATGTGTCCATATCTGGTGGTATTACAGCGACTGTGGACTTTGATGGAGCCAGTCCTCAGTTTACCCTCACATGTATCTCGACTGGTGGACCTGCTACCACTGTCACTTGGACCAGAGACTCCACTGATGTCACCCACGGAAATGAGACTGTTTTAGTCAATGCAACCACGGCAGAGTACATCCATACTTTGAAAGTGACTGGGAGAATGGAAGGAAGTTACACATGTACTCTGGCTAACAACAAACCATCAACTGGATCAGCATCCCGTGAATGTGAGGCTGCAAGCAACTTTACATATGTTGGTGATTCGTTTGTGTTTATTCCCAGTTCCTGGCTAGCCAATAATCTTTCTCGCGGGAAAATCTCCCAACTCTCTTAACTTTACTTGGAATGTATCAAACACCACAGATGCTATTACCTATACAGTTCAATGGCAGAAGATAGGCTGTTTAGCTGAAAATCGAGAGAACAATGGCTCTATTACCACCAATGATACAAGTTACAGTATAACAGGACTAGAGGAAGGCAGTACGTACAACATTACTGTAACTACAGGGGGACTGAGTAACACAGTATCTGCTGTGACTACATTGAAAGGTTAATGCTAGATAATTACGTTTCCATTATGCTATTACTAAAGGTGTGTGTTTATTTCTGCAGCTCCATCTGCAGCTCCAAATGTGACCAAGACTTTTGCGACTTCCTACTCCATCACTGTCAATTGGGAGTTGGTGCCTTGTGAACATCGGAATGGAGATATTACTGGCTACTCAGTGAGATATGGAGAGATGGGGAACAACATGACACACACGACTGTGCTGAATATTACTGGAGCCAGTGTAACTGAGACTACCATCTCTAACCTGACACTGTCTACTACCTACTCAATTCAAGTTGCAGCAGTCAACAGTGCTGGTACTGGAGTGCTCAGTAATGCCACAATCATAAAGACTTTCGAAAAAAGTTAGTTTTTATCTTTTATATATATATGAACTGTTGTTTATTCTCAGGTGTACATCTAAGTTTTAGACAAAAAATTATTACCAACAATAGCTACGTTATACTGGATGACATTGGCCACACCGATGACACTGCTCTAGTCTGCCACACGAACTACACCCCTCCTCACGGTCATGCCGATTCTGATGGAGATTGGTATGCTCCAAATGGGAAGAGAGTGGGAGGTGACAATGGGCCTAGTGACCTGGGGTTTGTGAGAAACAGAGGTCCTCATGTGGTGAGACTGAAGAGATCAACTGCTGGTACTCCACTTGAGGGGATATACTGGTGTGTGATTCAGGACCACACAAGGAATTATCAAACAGTTTATGTTAGACTCATGAACGGTATGTGCTACAATGTGTTTTTAGCCCAAACTTACAATGCAACAATTTTCAGAGACCAGCACTTCCTCAACCTTCTCTTCTTCAAATGCGGCTGGAAACTCTGTCATTTCTACCAGCTCTATCCTTAAATACAGTGAAATCAATATATCCACTGCCTTTTTAGGGCAGAGTCATGGAACGACATCAACCACAGCTAACTCTACCATAACTGAGAGAACTAGCAGTTACTTAATTCCAACCACAACTGCTTTCTACACTTCTTCAGCTTCAACCTTCTCCACTTCCAGCAGTGGAGGAATGTTCTCCAGGGCAACCCCAACTCTATTCGAGCCAACTCCAACCCCTAATCTTCGGTTAATATTTTCCATTGTTATTATTATAAGTGTAACTAATATATGTACTCTCGACAGGTCAACTGATGATGGCTGGTTGTCTACTATGGCTATAACAATTGGAGTTATTGTAGCAACTCTAATTATAGTATCTCTCAGTGTAATTTGTCTGCTTTGTCTCAAAGGTTACACAAAAATATTTTTTCACAATGCAGGAACAATTCTGAACGTTCTTTCATTGCCTTTGAACAGGTAGTAAAGATCGAGGCACAATTATCCACACTTCAACCAATGAGGCATATGGGGAGGTGAGGGGGAAAGGAGGAATTACAGTCAACAGCATCCCAACCTCAACCAATGAGGCATATGGAACACTGAGGGAGAGGGGAGGGGTCCATATTACAACCTCTACCAATGAGGCAGCTGTGGAAGGGGAAGGATATGAACTGGTGAATTTCCCTTGCAGAGAATCTCCTCTTATTGCAGCTGGTAAACTAGAGGATATGTATGGAGCTCCCTTTTCCTCCTTCTCCACATTTCATCCTCCTAGGTGCAGAGGAGGACGCCTTATATGAAGTCATTTCTGGAGACCAGTAACTCCACTCGTGTGCTTTTGTGCATGTAGCTTATGATTATAATAATATATACAGTTTGTGGTAGTTCCCTTTAATTACAATTATTCAAGTATAATTATACAGTGGCCAAAATCTATGAAATCTTCCCCACGTCACAAGAGGTTAAAAATAAGTGTAGCTACACTCATGTTGTTAGTTTCTTCAGAGGTAGCTAACTCAAGCTTCCACCACACCTATCTCTCTCTATTTCATGTGTGTGGTCAGGTGATTTACTTTTGCCTTGAGTACTTTTTCTAAAACAAACAATCTGCATAGGTAATCATCACATAAAACAACAGTATGTGGCTAGCTAAAAGTAAAGTATGTAATGATCGATGCTGGTGGAGTTTGCTGGTTGGCAGCTTCAATATCATTACTCAGCTGATTTTTTAAGAGTCATTATTTTAGCTACTTACATTTCAATATGTAAGTACGTTTTCCTCATAATATTATGGTGATGATTTGTGGGGATTAATGACTGTGACCCTCATTTGAAAACGTTGCTATCACCCAGATTACTATCCAAGTAAAAAAAAGCATGAACTGCTTTCTGTAGCCTTTTTTCTTCTTGTTTTTTCCTTAGTTAGGCTAACATAATAGTATAACCAAAAACGTAGCGAGCAAGCACAAGCAATATCACTCATGAGTGAAGCATATGCACGAATGTGCATGCACAATTCGACTTGAGAACCATCATACGCAATAATATACAAAAAGCCAAAGCTTTAACCCCACCTCAATGTTTTAAGATCTTGTGATTGCTTTTGCCTTGTGTACCATTAGCCAATAACCACATTGTTGATCTGGTAATAAAACAAACAACCAGGTATAGCTCCTAAAACAGAGCACAAGCCACAAACTCAGTCATAGAATAAGTTACGATGTTGGTGGTGGTCTTTTCTCTTAGTCTCCTCTGGTCCCTGGTGGAGGTTCCCTATATCCCCCTTTCATTTTGAAGAAATGATTTTTCCACTTGTAATATTACTGTTGGTTCAAATGTTGCTATAACTCGGATTACTCGCCAAGTAAATAAAGAGGCACCAACTCCTTTTTGTAGATTTTTTCCTTACATAAGGCGACTGACTTGTAACCAAAAGCATAGCCAGCATGCACAAGCAATATCGCTACTGAGTGAAGCATATACACGAATGTGCAAATACGCATGCACAATTTGACTTGGACAACCATCATACGCAATTATACAAACAAACCCAAAGCTTTAACCCCACCTCAATGTTTCAGATCTTGTGATTACTTTTGCCTTGTGTACCATTAGCCAATAACCACAGTGTTGGTCTGGTGATAAAACAAACAACCCGGTATAGCTCATAAAAAAGAGCACAGGCCACAAACTCAACCATAGAATAAGTTACGATGTTGGTGGTGGTCATTTCCCTCAGTCTCCTCTGGTCCCTGGTGGAGGTCAACCCTCAGCAGACTCCTTATGTCTCCTTCATGGGGGAGACACTGGCCAACCACTCCTATCTGAACTTCAGCCACATAGGATATGAGCTATCTGGAGATAATAGTGTTCAGTGTCACACTGACCTGAGAACATGCTGCAGCAGTGGGCAGGGTATGCATCGTGGTGACTGGTACTTCCCTAATGGACACCGACTGCCATTTGATGGAACCAATGATATTCACCAGCATTGTGACTATCGGAGAGTTGACCTACGTCGTAAAAAAATTTGTTGGTGATTCTTTTGTGTTTTTTCCCAGTTCCTGGCCAACCAATAATATTTCTTGTGGGAAAATCTCCCAACTCTCTTAACTTTACTTGGAATGTTTCAAACACAACAGATGCTATTACCTATACAGTTGAATGGGAGAAGCCGTACGCCACTCGCAGTAAACCACGCGCCGCCTATACAATTATACACCAGAGCCATTTCATACCTCCAGAGGGTTCCCATTCGTTATGAGCTGACACGGGGCAAGAAATATCAGTATGGGGTAAACTGACTGCTTCCTTTGACTTCAATGCCGTGGTAGTTAGTGTCCCTCGTAAAACTGCTGGTCGTGTACTGATTTTCTGAAACGAAGGGTGTGACTTTTTATATCAGTGCAAGGCAAACCAACTGGCTTTCACACTACTAGCTATGATAAGAAAAAGCTTTGTCCTTGGTGCCATAGAGGTATTTGCCTTCCACTTGCCTTGCTTGCTTGCCTGGCTATGTTGTGTCTTTGCATAATGAATTATAAAACTTCCTTTCGTCACACATTAGCTAAGAACAAAATTACCGTTAGAAAATGACAGCATCTAAGTCCAAGTAGCATGACGACGATCTGCCAACATGAAATGTATTACTAAGGCTTGTTGCTAGTCCAAACGGTAGCTAAATCAAACACTGTAGACAATGCAATCACCGAGTCCGTTAGAATTTACCTAAACTGATTCGGCTCTACCAGCAAACGGCTTGATATAGTTGTCAGCCAGCCAAATTGCCTGCTAAGAGAGCATGCAACCGCGACTTGGTACCACGACGTCCTGTACTACTGCGCATGCGCTGTTCCCGGATCGCCATCGCTGTGGCTGCGCGCGCTGGCGACGACAGCGACTTAGTGAAATGGCGTGGTTATTTGACTCTGGGAGGTCTCATAGACTACTAGCGATCCTAGACGACCATGGACAAGCTGTCGTGCCTTTCTGAGTATAGTACTATCACTTTCAGTTCAGATTCCGTTGAATAGCGTGCCCGCGCGCTTATCCGCTTTGTCCGATACAAATATGGCCGCTCAAGTTCGTGCTTCTACCCTAGTTCCTCGCCAGCTCATCTTGCCTGGTGGTAAGCCCCTCCCTCCCTCCATCCCTCCATCCCTCTCATCATCTCCAGTCAGGACAACTGGAACCCTCGCTCCTGCCAACTGGAGACTCGTAAACTAGACCCCAACAACCACAGCCTGAAACTAGTGGGGGATGCACTCGAACTTCTTCGAACCATTGAAAAACCACTAGCCGTCCTCTCCATCTGTGGGCCATACCGTTCAGGCAAGTCTTACTTCATCTCTCGCGTGCTAGGCAGCCCTCATGGAGCCTTCAAGCTTGGCCACAGCATGCACGCCTGCACTCGAGGTATCTGGATGGCCACCACTATCCTAGAATGCCCAGATTTTGCCACAGTCTTGCTGGATACCGAGGGTATCGATGCCGTGGGAGCCTCTGAGACCATGGCCATGAGCTTGCTCGCCCTCACCACTCTCCTAAGCTCCTTCCTCATCTACAACTCCAAGAATGTGCCTCAAAAACTGGATCTGAGCAAGATGAGGTGTTTCTCCCAACTCTCGGCCTCCCTTCTTGCTCAGCGTAGGGATTCAATGTCGATCGATGCGAAGAAAGCTTTCTTCCCTCATTTTCTTTGGCTGCTGCGGGACGTGACTCTCACAATGACAGACACGGAAGGTAAGCAACTTGACCCAACTGAGTTTCTTCACACTCGGCTCCTTGCGTCTGCATCGGGAGAGCTTACAGACCTGGGGAAGTCTCTAGTCGGCATTTTCCCCTCACTCGAATGTGCAACTCTCCCGCTCCCGTCAATCCGGTCGAATCTCGTTCGTGACATTTTCAACAACCAGGACAAGCTCAATCCAAAATTCAATAGGAAAGTCGATGCACTGATTCAGCAAATCCTGCTGAGAATCACTCCAAAGAAAGCTGTCGATGGCGCTATTACAGTGACTGGAAAGGCTCTGGCTGCTCTAGCTGAATGTTACGTTGAGGCAGTTAACAGGCCAGGTGCCCTACCAGACCTTGACCAGGGCTGGCAGG